TATTTAGCATTGCTTGTGTTAAAGAATATCGATCTAATGCCATTTCCCATTGTTGTCGATCTAATGAGAATTGCAACATTCTTTCTACGTACCCATTTCCGTTAAGGAGAATACCTCCGCCAAGATGTTTTATTACTTCAAAGCATATCAAGCACTTGAATACGTGCATATCTCTCTCGTTGTAAACATTACTTCATGTGTTACCTTGGGGGCCAATGATCTTTGATCTTCTCCTCTATTGGAGATCCTCGCGTGGAAGTGTTCTTAAGTCCGCCCCGTGCGTCACCCCATTCGTTACAGTCTCGCTTCATCGCAACCGTCTTGTCGCACTGGGGTAACTACCTCACATCACACCTGCACATGTGAATCAGTGGCACGGAGAAAACAATGTGATATATAAAAGTCAACCCCCGTCTTCATTCTGCCCCAGTTCAAGCCACCTACAACACCCTCATCAACATGATCGACAACAAAGAAATCGTTCTCATTACTGGTGCCAACACCGGCATCGGCTTTGAGACTGTGAAAGCTCTTTTCGCTTCTCCCAAGCCTTACCATATTCTCCTGGGAAGCCGTGATCTTGCCAAAGGAGAGAAGGCTGTCGCTGACCTGGAGCGCGAATGTCCTAGCTCCAAGAGCAGTCTGGACGTGGTTCAGATTGACATCACTGATGATGAAGCTATCGAGAGACTTTTCGAGCATGTGAAGGAAAAGTTTGCAAGAGTTGACATTCTCATTAACAACGCTGGTAAGTTACTAACATCTAAATCCAACACTAAGCTAATCTTTACAGGCGCAAACTTTGATGCGTTCAATGATGCCAGCGATCCAAAGAAAGCTCGCGAGCTTTTCAACAAGTCCTACGACGTCAACGTCTCGAGCACGCAAGTCATGACTTCGGCTTTCGCTCCTCTCCTCATTGCCTCGAAATCCCCGCGCCTCCTCTTCTTGACCTCCGGCCTTGCGACCCTCGAAGGTGCACACAAGTCATACTTGACCAAGCTCGCGGGCGAGGTTCCCCGGGGCTGGCCCAAGGAGGGAATCCGTACAGCAGTGGCTTATCGATCATCCAAGACCGCGCTCAACATGATGATGCTTTCATGGCACCATCTTCTCAAGGGCGACGGTGTCAGAGTCTGGTCCGTCAGTCCTGGCTTTTTGGCAACGAGCCTCGGAGGAAAGCCTGAAGTGCTGAAGAAGGCTGGAGCTGGTGATCCAGCAACCGGTGCGGAGCTCATCAAGAATGTTATTGAGGGCAAGAGAGATGAAGATGTTGGAAAGGTTATCGGACAGCCCGAATGGGTTGGAGAGACCGGAATCCAGGCATGGTAATCCTATTCTACTAGGGTGTCATTACAAACATGACTCGAAATAGCAAGACCTGGAGTTTACAACAACACTATTAGCAATTCGGCGAATTTTCACGTTGACGTGTAAATTCTTTCAGTGACAGCAATTAGCAAAGCCACATTGATGATGTACCTATCGTCCGCTATCAAAAGTCCCTACCACAGAACAATCATAGCGTTGGTCTTGATGATCCGAGCGTCCTAAAGAAATGAGATGAAAAAAAGAAACTTCTGTTCGCTCCCTTGGCAGTTTATGCGCTGAATGTATACGTCATTGCAACTATCCAGCTCAGCCCTTGTGTCATTCGCTGGCAGTTTGTGGAGGGATGTTCCATGTAAGCGGAAGTTGAGTGACGGCGCATCGCACAAGACCAGTTTCTAGAGATGGGGATAGACCCTTGCTGGACATGTGATGAGAATCAGGGTCGAAAGGGTTTATTCTGAGAATAGAATAAAGAGGAAGATGGAGGTGGCTTGGATTACGAGAGATGGGGATGACCCAGAGACAGTGTGCAAGGGAGTTGGTACAGTATTTAGCAGTTCTTTGCAGTGTCACAGTGCGAGAAGTCCAACTCCCGGGACCCTTGCGGGCCCGGCATCGCAACCCCTGATCCACAAAGTGACGTCGGCAGTGCCGCGGAGTGCGTTGCGTACTCCGGACGCGTCTCCACTGCCTCCGACTTTCTGACTCCAATTCATAGGATACGCCCATCGCCATGAAAGTGCCAGTATCACAAACCAAGCAAAAGCTTCCAAAACAAAAAATAGCAACACAAAAGGACAACAGTAGGCAATCACACTAACGTCTCGGCGCATGAAGCATCTAGAACATCAAATATGGACCCTGCCAAGAATTCAACAGCTCAAAAAATAGGCGGCCGTTTTCAATATTTACTTCCAGTCAGGCACGGCACGGCGCAGCACAGCCCCAGATGCTGAGCTGACGTTGGGTTTTCGCCCTCAGCTTAGGTTCCCGTTAATGAATCGTAGGCAGTTAATAAATGGGTAGGGGAGTAAAAATGCAAGGCTGATCCTTTTAACCCAAGTACGCAAGGATTGTCTGCGTCTTGTTTCTTCTCTTCACTTGCTCTTCTGCCACGTCGCATCACTCACTGTTACTGTTGCTATACATTGCCCGTTTTACATATTAGACTCTCGTCTTCCCCTTCGGCCCAACGTAACGCTTAATACCTTAACTTTCCTCGAACCTAATTGATACCCCAGCTTTCATAATCTCTTCACTTTTCGCTTTTCTATTTTACGAGTACTCTGCCGGCACTTTCTTTGTCACGGAATAAACGAGGTTGGAGGTGGATTATTTACTTGCTTCGCCAACCTCCCGCCCTCGGGCTTCTTCTCACTTTCTCGTCCCCACGTCCATCATACCTCTTCAACATACAACAACCCAGAATGGAAGCTCGGTCTCTAACAGCACTAAATAACCTCGCGGGCAATCCGCCTCAATATCCCATCAACCCAGCGCAGGAGAAACAAGACCCTCTAACACTCTATATCTCGAGGGTACCGGGCACTCGAGGTAAGACAACACCCCTCTCAACCCCCACCGGGTCTGACACTAACACCGCCTCTGAACACAGATGTCATTCTATCACCTTTCAAACCACAACTAAAAAATGTTACCGCCGAGGATGTCGCCAGCTGTCTCTACTATGTTCACTTCGAAGCGCCGTCGCTAGAACCTGCCGGGCCACCACGAGATGACGAGCACCGATCTTCGAGTGACGAGAGCTCATCGATACGGAATATTAAGAGGAAGCCTTTGCCTGGTGGCGCAAGACCATTGACGCCTCCCCCGACCGATCATCTGCCTGTACCTGGCTACGGAGACGAGAACCAGGACCCTACGAGAAGACGGGGCCTTTCGGTCAATTCGACCTTTGATCCTCGACAAGCGTCAGCACGACATGGTTACAAGCAAGAGGAAGAAAGCCCAGTTCTACCACCTCGGCCAAAGAACGTCCCGAGAATCCAGACTCCGGAACCAGCTGTAGCCCGGAAACCACTTGGACCTCGAATGACATCGAACAATGCCTCGGCACTGGGCGACCACCCTCTCCCGCCCCTTCCACCTCCCAACCAGGGAGGTCCCGATTTCGATCGAATGCGTGCGACGAGTCGCCCTCCCCTACCGGATCGAAACACCGAAAACCGCTCCCCCTCACCTCGAAAAAGCTATGAAGGAAAGCAGCCTTTTACATTAGCTCTAATCCGTCGTGATCCCAGCACAGGAAATCAGTGGAACGTTGGACATATTTCGTCTTTCCAGTCTGAAGCACCACCACCTGATCAGGACGATGCGAACCCACTGTTCGCCTCTGTGCCGCCCGTTGCGCAACCGCCAACTTCCGGGAACCCACCCATAAACGTTCAAATCGAGACTCTTGGTTATGGAAAGTTCCGTGGTATGCCTGCGCGACGGAGTTTCGATGCGGGTCCAGGCTCAGATATGACCCAGCCACGGGACGGTGGTGTCGTGCTGCAGAGACAAGTTGCAATGGCTTATGGGAAAAGCTGGGCGTCAAATTGGCGAGAGAAACTGCAAGACGGTGCTGGAAAGGGGCATGGGCGACAGGGCAGTGTTGGCTCAATTGAATCGACCGAGGGCTCATCCCCTGTTGAGCCTGCGATCTCAATGCATCCAGGTCCAGGACTCAGACCTCGGGGGTACATCTTTACCAGCCCCTGGAACGGAAGATGTGAATTCCGTACAGGAGCTGCTGGTCGAAGCTTGCGCTGCTATCACATTCTGCATGATGACCGACCAAGCAATCCTCTGGCTGAGTTCAGTCAGGGGCAAGTTCAAGGTGGTGGTGGCGGTATGCCCATGAGTGAACTCCGATTCAATCTTCCTACAGCAGAACTCTTCAAGTCTGCTGAAGGTCGTGAGGAAGTCAAGACTCAGCTCCAAGGACATTTCAACAAGTTACTCCGCCGCGACGAACGAGGCGATGGTTACGATAACGACGGCATGGTTTCGCCGTTCGATATCAATCTTGGAAAGGAGAAAGCCGGCGGTGGCAACCGAGGAAAGAGAGCTAAGCTTGGCAAACTCATCATCTATCCTGATGGACTTAAGATGCTCGATCTACTGGTATCTGCAAACATGGGCCTTTGGTGGCAAGCTTGGGAGAAGAGTTTTTAGGAAACTCGTGACCATCTAAACCAATTTTTGAGATACCTACATGATTTCTGGAGTTTTTGTTTTCATTTTTGTAAAGCTGATGGTTTGCATGTTGGCTATTTACGTAGAGGGAGTTGCCGCGAGGATTGAGACGACATAACGATCATATGGAAACGGCTGAAATACCAAAACATAACAATTGGATGATTTATAGATAAACTGGTCTTAATTACATCAATGTTTCTTATTAATATGCGATCATAATTGGCTCATGATGTTGAGTGATGAAGTTCAATTGACGTTGATCACGTGAAAAGTCACGAGAGTTGCTCCAGCCAATCAACAGCCTAGAGTTGTAATCCCGCTGAGCAACTTTCGTAGCCGAACACATCCATCACGTCAAATCCTCGCCTCCCGCCCAGCCCGTCCGCCTCAATTGACCCCGGGACGTCAAGTCAATTGACACTCCTTCGAATCTCCCTTCCTCCTCGAACATCCTCCTCGACACAATGGCCCACGCACTCATCGCGCGACGCCAGCTCGCCTCCGCTGCCACCAGCAGAGCTAGCATCCTCGGCCTGGTCCAACAGCGAAGCTACGCGACACCCCATGGACCTCCTCCTGCCAACTTCCGAACGAGCAAGCCTGTGCAGTGGACCTGGGACAGGGACAGCACCCTCGATCGCATGGGAAAGTTTTTCCTCATGACAGAGATGGCGAGGGGCATGTATGTCCTGCTTGAGCAGTTCTTCCGACCACCGTATGTTATAAAGAACTTGGATCATGAGGGAGGGCAATTAGACTGACGAGAGATTAGTTATACAATTTACTACCCCTTCGAGAAGGTATACGACATCGAACGAAGCTACATACGCAAATAACTGACCTAGTTAGGGCCCTATTTCCCCTCGATTCCGTGGCGAGCACGCCCTTCGACGATACCCCTCCGGTGAAGAACGATGCATTGCTTGCAAGCTTTGCGAGGCTGTACGACACCACATCTCTCAAGAGCAGCCAGGTTGCTGACATCAATGAACAGATCTGCCCCGCCCAGGCCATTACCATCGAGGCTGAGGAGCGAGCTGACGGATCCCGCCGAACAACCAAGTACGACATCGACATGACCAAGTGCATTTACTGCGGTTTCTGCCAGGAGTCCTGCCCCGTTGACGCTATCGTTGAGTCACCCAACGCCGAGTACGCCACCGAGACCCGAGAAGAGCTTCTTTACAACAAGGGTGCGTTTCCTACCGCGTCTACAACCTGTCCTGGTCGATGTTCCGAGATTACTTTACTAACAGTCCAACAGAGAAGCTTCTCTCCAACGGCGACAAGTGGGAGCCTGAGCTTGCAGCTGCTATCCGCGCTGACTCACCATACCGATAAACGATACGAAAAGGAAAGGGAGAAGAGGAAAGCATGGTTTTTATGTTGTTTTGTTTGTTGCCTCGGGTCGTTTGAAACGTCGCTATTGTAGGAACAGGATCATTTTTTGGTGGAAAGGCGGCACAGGATACGATGAGGCTTCAGACGGAAGGGATGGGTGGGTGTACATAATCTAGATGTCCAAAAATGCCCCTTTGTCACTCAATTGGTTGGTTTGTGTGAAGCTGACGGTGGGAAGCCATGGTCAAGAGGAGAAGTGTACGATCTGGGCATAGTGGTGAGGTCAGTTCTTTGGTGTTGTTATCACTCACGGAGTTTCAGCACGTCAACATCATAATCATGATTCATTCAACTAATTATATACGACGAAAGGCTCAGTCTAGGCTTATTTGGGAGCTGGGTATGCGCACTTCTTAACCTCAGGCTTGGTCTCAGCAGCCGCGAGAGCAACCTCAGTCAAACCAGAAGCAACCTGCTTCATCCACATATGGTACTGTTTCTCACTGGGATAGAAAGGACAAGCCGCGGAACCACTCTCCTCGCCAAACTCAATAGTGTAGCTCTGCAGCTTGCTCTTACCGCAAGCCTTGCCGTAGAATCGGCCAAGGGCGTAGTCAGTGCTGGCTCCGGAAGTAGGATACAAACCAACAGCCTCTTGCACGACGTACTTTGTGGTACCGGCGCTCTCCATGGACTTCTTCATGCTGTTGCCGACCTTCTTCTGGACGTTGATGTCCTTGGAGGTGATATACTCCTTGTACTTAGTCTTGGGGGTCTCAGCGTCGCCGAGAACTCCACGACGTCCGTCGAACTTCTTGTTTGCGAAACTCTCCTTGGGGTCCTTGGTCTGCGCATCATCATCACCCCATGCGTAGAGAATATCACCGCCGAAAGAGTGCAGATCGACAAACCAGCTTAGGCTCTTGTACTTGTCCATAACCCAGACGACGTTCTTGGTCTCGGGCTCTGACTCGGGGCCAGTACCGTGGAAGACCTCACTGGTAGGATCCTCAGAGGCAACAGAGCTCAGATCAATGCCTGAGTTGAACGCCTTCTTGTAGTTAAACAAGAAGTCGTAGTTGCGGTTGATGTCGATACCAACCGCATCAGGGTTACCCTTTGAGCTCTTGGGGTTACGGTTCTTGCGCCAGCATGAGTTGGTGGATTGATCGTACTTGACACCATCGGGGTTAATGATGGGAAGGACGACGATACCGCCATCAACAGCCTTGCGGACTTGGGCAGCAGTGAAAGTAGTCTTGCCATACTTAAGACCCTTACCCGCCTTACGAGCGTGCAGAAGGTCAGACAGCCAGTAGACTACATGATCGGGGCCACCACGCTCACGCGCATGGGCACCGCTAATGATGAAGAACTTGGGGTTCTTTCCAATCTTTGCACCAAGGGTCTTTATACCCTCATATGTCTTGTAGGGAGGACGAATGAGCTCAACCTCCTTGAAGTTCTTAGCAAGACCCTCGAGAGCGGAAGAGACCTCAGCGGGAGTGAGAATGGACTTGAGGTTGCGGTCTGAAGTAGAAAGGCCCTTAGGGACGATAGTGCCCTTCTTGAAGCGATCGCCCGTGCCGATGGGGAAATCGGGTTCCGGGCGGGTGGCTTGTCTAGCGGCGAGAACTGCAGCGCGCTCCGAGTGGGGGACTGAGTCGGAGGGGATAAGACAGGCAGAAGCCGAAAGAGCGTAGGCTAGGAGTTGAAGCTTCATGATTGGAACCCGATGTAAAGAAATACCAGTAAAAGGATGAGGAGTGAGGAACTCACAATTATGGGAGAAGAGGGTTATATTTAAGCTTAAGCTTAAGACAATTGATCAACGAGGCATTGGATCTCCTGTACGACGTTGGAATTCTTGGCCCTGTGAATCAACTGGATTCCAGTGGCTCTCCTTCCTATCTCAGCCCGCTTCCCGTAAACAAAGTCCCCTGAGGGCACGGGCAGACTGTTTGTGGTAGGTGAAGCGATAGATAACATGCAGCAGGGGCTCATGATTGGATGAGTACAAGGAACGTTTGTAGACGATCTTTTGGTGATTGCAATCTGACCTGGGGAACATATACAAGGGACATTCATGCTGTGTCGGTAGTTGGTGCTTATTGGGGGAATTAGAGGCTTGGCCGCGGAATGGAGAGATGGAGGTTCAGGGTAGGGGATGTAAGATGGCTGGTCTGGCGGTATGGGCTTATCTGCAGAACATGGGAAAGGCAGTTCCTAAGACTAAAGTTATCTTCAATCTATCAAGCATTAAGATTTTTGAATTACCATTTCAGATTGTCAATTGGCAGGTATCAGGGTGCCTTGAATGCGTATAAGGTAATCATTATATTTGTTAGTTCTCTTGTCTAACATGTCAGTTGTTTTCCCAGATTGAAAGAGACCAATGGGGACAAGTTCGATTATGCTGACTAGACTACAACCAGCGTTTCAATCAATAAACACCATATACCTTATGAGAACATCTTGCAAATTGACTTTCACCTCAATTCCGCTTCCTCGTAAATTCTCATTGAACTGAAATCTTCAATGCCTTTCCCTTCCTCGGCCTCATCACCCAATCACACGTCCCCCTCACTGACGTATACCGGAGCGTTCCCCCGTCACAGTCACGTGATTCCTCACAAACCGAACTTAGCTTAGCTTTCTCCATCGGAACAGACCAGTCAACCCGGGTAGAACGAGAAATTTATCATCACCTTCAACCTCATCATCCAAACTCCACCACCGCCCACCGACGCCAATTGACCCTTTCCTCCTCGACAACCGGGAAAAGAGAAAACACAGCAAAAATGTTCCGATCAGCAGTCCTCCGATCCGTCCGCGTCGCCGCCCGTCCCGCCATGCGCTCATTCGCCGTGGCGCCCCGCGTCGCTACCGCCGCTGTCCCCAAGATCCAGAGCTTCCAGGCCGTGCGGTTCTACAGCGCTGGCGGTGCGCTCAACAAGGAGGAGGTCGAGGGCCGAATTATGAGCTTGTTGAAGGGTTTCGACAAGGTGAGAAATCATCTCCGAGATGGCAATGGATTCACCGAGGGAATCCCCCTCCAAATTGCCGATCTGATAAACCAGTAGCTAACGATAGTCTCAGGTTAACGATGTCTCCAACGTACGTCTCGATAATCAACAGACTCGAATGTTTATCTAACCACCCGCAGATCGGTACCAGCGCTCACTTCGCTAACGACCTCGGTCTTGACTCTCTCGACACCGTTGAGGTCGTCATGGCCATTGAGGAGGAATTCAGCATTGAGATCCCCGACAAGGACGCCGACTCCATCCACTCCGGTATACCTAGCCTTTCCCCCTCTTGAGCTCCAAAACACTGTACTAACAACTTCCCAGTCCAACAGGCTGTCGAGTACATCCTGAACCAGCCCGACGCCAATTAAACGTATATCTCCCAAACCACCACCTCTCTCTCTTCCTCCTCATTGTACAATTACCACTCTCATGACCACCGGAATCCTTACACGGCAAGGATTTAAAAGATGCCGATAAAAAGCCAGCAGGGGACGGTGAGGGTGGTGGTGGTGGAAGGAAAGATATAAAAACGCAATATAACGCATCAAGTTCTTTTTTAATCTCGGCGCACCATGAGACGGTTCATTGTTTTTCAGACGGTCGTGGAGGAGGGAGCCACACGAGGAGAGATGAGGAGACGTTTGAATGAAAGACTTGACGAGTGTTGGGCTTGAAGTGTATGCTTGACGTCCTTCTTCACTGCTCGAAGGGATGACACGATTGGCAGATCCCTGGTTTTCATACTGTGAAGCAGTGAATACGGCGAATGGGATGCATTGAGTTTGCTGAGTTGACCAAGGGTAGATGGTGGAATCTCTACTCTGTGGCTTTGTATAGTGTATAGAAACACCCAATTTCTCTACCTACATCCTGTGACTGCTCCCTGTAGAGCTCACATAGCCGCTATTCCCGATATCCCCATCTCCACCAGGGAGCATGACTAGTACGGAGTACGCAGGCCTCGTTATCACGTAGACAGCCAAAGATCTGCCGAGAATCAACATTACATCACCGCAAATGGCTGGGTACTAAGTAGATCCAGTGCCAACAGGCCCGGCGAACACGTAATGTCCATTATGCATCCTCCCATACATGCAGCTATTTTCATACATGATTTGCCTCGATATATCTAACGAGGTCTTAACCCCCATTTGCAGTTGTTTTTGTAGATCCGAGCCTCCCCAAAACACCATGCCCAAGAGGAAGATACCAAGCAGAGAGACCCAATTGCGCATCGAGCATACAAGTCAGTCGGCTTTGCTTGTTACCCTCATCAAGCCTAAAAACTGAGTGGGCAGAAAACAGATTCCATCTGCCTTCCAAAGCAGTTCATGATATGATAGCGATTATCAAGCAATATATGAAAACAGAAAATGTCAAAACTCCTGGCCGTGTATCCTATATCCTTTTTGATCTTGGCCATAATAAATTGCCATGCATCCTCATATTTTTCTTTCGTCCGTTCCCCTCAAGCGTAAGCTTGTTGGCGAAATGCAGTATGTCGTAGCGACTGTGGTGTTGTCCGCTCAAGATCATGGCTCATCAACTCGTCATCTCCTTTTTTTGTCTAAGCTACCAACTCCGACGCTTGGCTGATAAAACTGAAACCAGTTGTCCAAAGACGCTATCCTCCGCCTTCAGCCTGGTCGTTTATCGGCCGCTGACAGGAACTCCCTTGGTTCCATTGGTGGAAGGCTTGCCAGCGACTGCACCAGCATAGCTGCTCCAGACATTGGCCAAGCCAGCTGATGTCCTCTTAGGTGACTTGATAGAAGGCTCACCGTCTTCCTCCATGCCNNGACACATGACGTTCCATGCCACCACGCTCACGCTCTTTGCCAATAGGACTAATCGGGCTAATGGCACTAGCGGTAGCACCAGCTCGAGCGGCCGCAGGGTGGAGAAGAGGACTAGAATTGCCTGCAGTATCATCAAGACGGCTTCGCTGAAGTTGCTGAGAAAGCATGG